CATATTCTGTATCATTTTATTTATTTTTTAAATTTGTCAAAGTTTGTTTTATGGTCCAGAATGAAGTCTGTCTTGATGAAAGTTCCACAAGTACTTGAGAAACATACGTATTCTGCTCTTGTTGGATGGAGTGTTCTATATATATATATATACACATATATGTTAATTAAATCCTGTTGCTTAATTACATTGTTTAGTTCTTCTATATCCTCTCTGATTTCTTATTTAATAGTCTGTCAACAGCTAAGAGTAATATGCTGAAGTCTCCAACTATAATTGTTTGTCTATTTCTTCTTTCATTTGCATCAGGTTTTTTTCCCAGTACATTACAACATCACATTATTGTATAGTTATACAAACACACACAGTCTAGTGGTACTGATGTTTTACCACTGTGAGTAAAGTGTAGAAACCTTACTTCCCTTTAGGGTCTCTTTACCCACTTTTTAAATATAATTGTCTGAAGTATTTCCTCTACTTATATCAAGCAATAAAAAATCCTCTCCTCCTGAGACCCTGATAATACAAATGCTCGTTCTTCTGTTATTGTTACATAGATCTCCATGCTTCTGTTCATTTTCTCTTTTCTGCTGTTTAGACTGGGTCAGTTCTATTGATCCATCCTCAAGTTCGCTGACTCCATCCTCTATCATATCCAGTCTATTAACAGACTCATTCTGCAAGTTTGTTATTTCAGTTATTGTATTTTTCAATTTTGTAATTAGCATTTCATCACTTTTTACTTCTGTTTCTTTGCTGATTTTTAAATTTTTAAAAATTTGTTCCAAGAGTATTTGTAATTACCTTTGAAGCACTTTTATGATGGGTAGTTTAAAATCCTTGTCAGATAATTCTTGGTGTCAGTTATCTGTTGATATTCTCAGTTACGTTGTAATTTTCCTGATTGTTTGTATGACAGTGATTTTTCTATTTTATCCAGGGTATTTGGATATTATGTTATGAGATGCTATTTAATCCTGAAATGTAGCAAAAGGTCCTGGTGGGTGAGTATGTTTATCTTCCTGCTGAATCCCACCAATACCACCCTGTCACAAAAGGAGCACTGACTCACATTGACCCGTGGCACATGGGGGGTGAGTGTTCAGCTCCCTCTAGGCCTGGTTCTCACCACGGGAGGGGAGCAGGGAAGCAAAATTCCAGCTAGCCCCCTTTCCCACCACCTCATCGTGCCTCAAACGTGCTGGATGAGGTGGAGGCTCAACTACTCACTGGCTCCTGCTAAAGCCAGGGGAGTGGAAAGCAGAGTATTGACTACCCCACCTCATACTACATCATTCTATTGATGCTGGGTGAGGCTGGAGGCTCAGATCCCTACCTGGCTCCCTTAGGGCATTGACAGATTGCAAGAGAAGGGATCAAATTGTTCACACTCCCTGCTTTGCACTGCTGGTCTGGTTTCTTGTTGCCACATGGGCGTGGAGCTTCAGCTCCCTGCTGGACCCACTGACACCAGGGGTGGGGAGAATGCGGAGTGGTGATAGTCCCTACTCACACCTTCTCATTTAGTCTAATTGATGTCAGGTAAGGGCAGGGACTCAGCTCCCTCCTGGGCTCCTGCTGACCCCAGGGTATGTAGTTGAACTGGCAATTAGCTCTACCTTACATCATCTCATTTGTTCCTGTTGCTGCTGGGTGGAGGTAGTGGCTCAGTTCATCACTGGGCCCTTCTGACACTACCTTGATGAGGAGACCTGAGCAGCAGCAGGGGGATGGAAGATTAGCTTCCTGGCTCAGCCCCACAAACCCCACCAGGTACGGCGATGGGAGGGCTACCACATGCTTCTGCCTACTTCCTCCATTTGAGGGTTGGGTGAAAGATCAGCTCCCAGCTAGACCCTGCTGAAGTTGTTGGTGGGGAGTGAAGACAGTGGTTAGGTTTTTTTGTTGTGTCTGCCTAGTGTAGGGTGGGTATTGCCAAAAAGG